GAGATGATGGAAGAAAGAAAAACAGAGCTGGGCTGAAAGAGAAGAAAAACAGAGCTGAAAGAATAAGAAAAACAACGATCACTGAAGAAGAAAGAAGAAAGAAGAAAGAAGAAAGAAGAAAGAAGAAGAAAAAGAAAAAAGAAGACCAGCAATGGTGGTCGACCAGAAGAAGAAGAAAGTAGAAGAAGAAAGGAGAAGAAGAAGAAAAGAAAAGAAAGAAACATACCTGGTGAAAAAGGGGTCGCTGATGGCTGACGATGGAAGAAGAAGATGTGAACTCAAGCCCTAATTTTGTCGCTGAAGAAGAACCGGAGAAGAAGGGTCGCTGCTCGTAAGAAGTGATTTCACCCAAGTCCTAATTGCGACTTAAGTGCCTTTTTCTTTTCTTTTTTTAAAATAGCGACGCTACGCTCGCTTCTCACCACACTGTCGCCTCTCGCTACACAAGCACAGGCGACCGCTATTTTGAATCGCAACGCAACAGGCCCTCTGTAGCGACACACGCTCGCCTCGCATCGCTACACGCTTTTAGCGCTGTAGCGAGCGCTATTTATAACACTGGCTTAATGATGTCATGTTGTTTTACACCAGAAATAATTAGATAGAACAATGCACTTGAACGTTTTGCTTCACATTATCCAACTTGAAAGTCAATACTATATAGCTTGAAATGCTGGCTTATTGGCATGACTGACTATAGTAGCCTTGAAGCTTTTTTTTCTTCTTTTTGTTAGGGTCTGACCGTTCTTGTTTGCTTGCATGAAATGCGTAGGTGGATCATCCATTTTCTCATTGAAAAACACTGTTATTTCTTTGAGTATTGAATGTACGTAACGACTGTGGAATGGCCAAAATCCATTTTGTATGGGAATATAATGTGTTTTAACCTTTTTTTAAAGTCCAAGGTGTGAGTAGATCCTTATTGCATTTCTGTTGCTTTCTATATTACACTATTCAAAGCTGTCGCTATTTTGCATTATCCGCTTTTGTAATCGCTTTGTGGTTCATTGGTTAAGATGAAGTCCTACATTTGGCTCCAAACTGCTGATGGATCGATCCAACAAGTAGAGGAAGAGGTTGCCATGTTTTGCCCAATGATATGCAGAGAAGTACTTCAAACTGGCACAGGATCCTCGAAAAATTGTGCAATATCACTTCCTCAACGAGTCAATGCTGCTATTCTGGGCTTAATACTGGATTATTGTCGGTTTCATCAAGTTCCTGGCCGTTCTAATAAGGTCAGTTCTCTGTTTCCTTGTTGTAACAGTGCAGTGCCTCCCAGAAAGTGAAGGATTTTCGGTTTGCCTGTGCCATGTGCATGGTTTATGTGACATTTTTTTTTTTTTTAAAATTTGAGTGTAATGGATGTCTTTTATGTAGGAGCGCAAGACTTTTGATGAAAAGTTCATCCGGTTAGATACCAAGAAGTTATGTGAGCTGACATCTGCTGCTGACAGCCTTCAACTGAGGCCTCTGGTTGACCTTACAAGTCGTGCACTTGCTCGGATGATTGAAGGCAAAACTCCCGAGGAAATACGTGAAACTTTTCATTTACCTGATGATCTAACAGAGGTCCTTATTATGGCAGAAAATATTTGTAGCCCTCTCTCCATATTGTTGGTGTTTCTCACTTGGAAATGGTTTATCATTAGGAGGAGAAGTTGGAACCTTTGAGAAATATGACCGATGATCCACGCATACGCCTTCTCAATCGACTTTATGCAAGGAAAAGGAAAGAATTAAAAGAAAGAGAGAAATTAAAGGTACTTTAAGATCTGGCTCTTGTGCTTGTATCTTGGCCGTGGTTGCTTGATGCTACTTGATGAATTTTTGTGTATGCACTCTGATTTTGCTTTATTTCCTTTCCTCTTTATGTATTTCCAGAATGTTGAGGTAGAAGAAGAGCAGCATGTGGATGAACGATCAGTTGATGATCTTCTTTCGTTCATAAATGGGGAAGATGAAGGTAAGATTAAGACTTAGTTAACACCCTATATTTTCACTGTAGGGTTGCTCTGCTTTCTGCATGTTGCATTACTAAAATAATTGAACTGTTTTGCATGCCTATAATCTGCATATTACCCAGAATTATGTTTTGGTGAAGTTGCATTTTGGCTGCCTGACCTGACCCCATTATATGTGTGTGTGTATAAAACATATACATATATATAACTCGTAGCTTTAGATCATTATGTCTCAGGTTTTATATTGTGGTTTGTGATGCTTATTCTGGAAAGGTTAAGAAAATAATGTGGAATCTACCATGACTATCGATCAGTCTTATAAGTTATATTTTTTGTGTATTATTTGCTGCTCTATAATCAGATCCATAATTTCTATGGTGACTCAACCCTTCTGATGGTATAGTGTAACTTTTATAGCCTCTTTTGGGTTATTCTTTGAGTTTGATTATCATACTTACAATTTTGAGCTTGGTGGTCTATTTTGCAGATTCTAAGGGTGTAAGAACAACAAAGAGTAAAAAGAAAAATAGGAGGAGAAAAGAACAAGCTAGAAATTCCTCAACAAATAATGAAACTGGTAACCATAATCAGGTTAGCACCTGTTGAGCTATGGGATTTTCTCTTCTTTGTTTTTTTGTTTTCATTTTCGTTTTTGGTCGATGTGTGTGTGTCTTGTTGNGGGGGGGGGCACACAGAGTTGCTTCTAAGTGTCTTTGCTTTTTTCACTTTGACATTTGTTGGCTTGACTGGTGCTGTTGGTACGCAGGAATCTAGCTTTCCTGCATCTAGCTGCCTGAATGGTGATGTTCCTTCTCCAAGTAAACCTTCTGATCTGCAAGACCCTGCATTTGATGAAGGCGATATTGACGACGAATTAGATCCTGTAATGAAGGAAGAAATTGACAGGTTTGATTATCTACTTAGGTTGTTGTCCACTGATCAAGTTACATTATTGTCTCTGTAGATGGATATGTGTAAAAGACCATATGAGGTGATTGTAGTTACTTACAACTTATTGAATGAATTGTGTTCTTCGTGAGAGGCACCCAAGGTTGTGGCCTAGTAGTCAACGAAGTGGGTGAAAACTTTGGATTCCAAGGTTCAAATCCCAACAGAGACAAAACATTAGGTTATTTCTTCCCATCTGCTAAGCCTAAGTGGATAGAGTTACACGGTACTTGTGCTTGTGGGAGGTATTATGTATGGTGAAATAATCGAGGTGTGCCCAAGTTGGCACAGATACCACCATCATAAAAAGTTCTTTCAGAGTGGTTGTATTGAGCTGCTATTATTTCCTTGGTGAAAGGATTTCTTTTTTGGGTAATTAGTTACCCTGTGTGTTGATACAATCTTTTTACTCCTGAAAAGCAGTTCTTTTCTTTTCCTCCTCCTCTTCTCCTGGATCGTGCTATTCAAGGGAAACCTCGTTGCAGTGGCTTCTGCCGAGGCTGCATGCAAGTGTGGTCTGGCCCTTCCCTGGACCCCGCACATAGCCGGAGCTTAGTGCACCGGGCTGCCCTTTTTTTTCCCTTGATAACCGAGAAATCCTCGAGACCAGTGGCGCACGGTTCAAAGCTCGATGTATGATGGGCCCGCCCCTCTACTCTTATCTGCTTAAATAACAAGCTTTTTGCCTGCGCCAGGATTTGAACCCGTGATGTGTGCCTAACCCACACATCACGCATTGCACTCTTACCACTAGACTGAAGCCCTAGGAGCCTGCATGCAAGTGTTAAGAACCATACTTTAATCATTCATTAATTGTTAATGCATATCCATGCATATTGGAGAGTTTTTGCCTGCGATATAGCTTCCCTTGTCAAAATTCTGGATCGTAACCTTGAATCTAGTACCTCCAGAAGCAAAATCGATTTTTTGGCTAGTCTTCATTTGAAAAAAAAGAACTGAGAAAAAGTGAAATAGACAGAAACTTCTTACCTATTTTTATTACTTAGTCTTTTCCTCATCTGACATTCATTTCTTACCTAAGCTTCATACCCCTTTTCTTCTTTTCTAGACTTTGTGCAAAGTTGGATTTAGCATTTTAGTGTTCCGGCCCTTCCCCAGACCCCGCGCATAGCGGGAGCTTAGTGCACCGGGCTGCCCTTTTAGTGTTGTATTTAGCTGTTATAAATTTTAAACAGAGTAACCCTACAGCTATAATCAGCAGATAGCAATGGAAAAGACATTATAGTGTTAGCATGTTTCTAGCTGGAATCTGATTACAGATTGGAGTTAATGGTTAAATTTGAATCAATATAGAATTATCATTTTATCCTCATTGGTCTTGTGTTGATAGAATCTCCAAATATTTAATGATGATTGCTACTTTTAATTTGTGCAAGAAGAAGAAGTTCCATATGAATTCTGTAACCGCAGAGGGGATTGTTTCTATTTCTGGGAGCTCATCTTACCTTACATTTTAACAAACAAAAAAAATTGCAAGTAAAATCATGTCATACCAATATATCTTATTTCATTGACTAAAATAAGGGATGACAAAAGAAAATAAATCTACTCTCTTATCAAGGAAAAAAAGAGAACAAATGTACATACAAATGTAAGAAGAAAATGTTTTTCACGTCATCACAGATGCAGGGAAAATTGAACATAGTTTTATATATTGATTCATCACACAGGGACCATCCAGTTATTTCCCCCTCCCCAGTGGCCATCAAACCCTTCATGCCAGCATGGGCTGCTGTGGCTTTTTTAGGGCAAGCACCTCTTAACTTGTCATACGATTAGATATGTCATGTACTGTAGATACTTGATTTTGAATTTCTATATCGCAGGGAGGTTGAGGATTTTGCTAGGAGACTGAACTCTGTTTGGCCAGAAAGAATGCAGGAGATTTTGTCTTTTGGTCAAGAGAGGAGGCCTGTACCAGTATCTGTGAATGGGAATGATTCCCTAAAGAGATATACAGGTAGGATTTCTTTTATATATATAAAACAGGATATGGTTACCTTGTTATTCTGAACTAAGAAAAGTGCAAGTTGAATCAATATCACACTGAATAATCTTTGCTGAAGTGAAGTGGAATGTACTTAACAAATCATAATAGAGTAGAGCATGTCATGGAGACTTTTTATCTTTAAACAACAGAAACTAGCAGAGAGGAAGTTTCTGAGAAATTGTGTTAAACTATAGAAATTTCGTCATAAAAGCATATGAAAGTATGAAACTTGATTTACTTTTTCACTTCCGCGATAATATGAGGCATTAGGATAGCAAATTGAAAGATGAAACTGGAACAAATACCCAGTAGTTTAAGAACTGGCTCCAGATTATGAGGTAAGATTTTGCTAAGTTTGCAGTTCTACTAGTAAACTAAATATTCCTTGTGTCAAACTCGCTTTTGTTAATGTTGACCAATTTCTGTTTTCACACAGCAAGGTTTGCACTGGTTTGTCAGGGACTCATTAAACCATCTACTAGGATTACATGTTCTAGTTCAAAAGGCTAAAGCATAGACTTCTTGCTGCAGCTGGCTTCATCTAGCCATTGATTTTTTTATGGCTCCTTAAATTTCTCCCTCTATGCATAGAGGGAAGTATTCTATTTGTCGCCTTGACATGTCACACCTGGGAGCTTAGTTCTATTACTTGTTAATCTGCTTCAAGAGCAGAAGAAGCCTAGGGTGTATAGTTTTGTTGGCTATGTTCTGGTTGTAACTACCAAAATTAATGGTTATCAGATCACATTTTATCTCGAATGCAATAAAAAAGAAAACAACAGAAGAACGAAATAAATAAACATGATGTTACTTGGTAAAAGTAAGGTCCTCTCCTGAATAAAAGAAGAAGAAACGTTTGGGGTGGTTGGAGCAGCTAACTAAGTAGAGCTTGCCTTCAATTTCTTGTTGGAGGATCCTCTGAAAGAGCTGGCTTGTTCTGGAAGCTTTATTTGTCTCATGGGGTATCTGAATCTTTTTAGCAGGTTTGGATGGGAGATAATGGTTCAAATGGTGGATGATGAATCTTTTGGATTCAGTCGAGCTTAACATGCCAGCTTTCTGTGTCTACTGTTGCCACTAAAGACGGTAACAATTCAGTGTTTATTGCTTGTAAAATTCATTCCACTTGTCGAGCTGCCAAAAGTGATTTCTAATCCTGGGGAAATGACCTGAATGGCTGAAGTTTATGGGAATTTCGAGATACAAGGAAAGTCTCTGTTGTATGTGGTTTCATGGTAACCACCATTTCATTTGTCCTGCATTTCCAAATACAAGTTCCAATTTTGCAAAAATTTCCCAATCTTAGATTTGTTTTCCTATTCTTTAATAAGTTAGTTCAAATTAAGCTGTGTTAATTTTTCACTCATTCTTTTTTTTTTTTTTGGGTCTTTTCAATTTAATGTTTCTTGAGCTGTGTTATATTCATGAGGAATATAATATGAGCATTTTTGCCATGAAATGGCTTTAAGTGCTTGTGGGTTCTATGCTTCAATTCCGTATCATTATGTCGTGTTAATGTGTATGTAAATTTTGTACCTTTGTTATTTCTTATTGATATTAAATTTAGTGGATCAAGTTTCCTCTTCTTGAGATGGTATTATCTTGTTTTTGGCTTTTTTCTGCAACTGTAATAGTAATAGGGGCTGACCTGACTTGCGCTTTTCCTGAGAAACTGACCAGAATTTTAGAGCTTATACTAGCAAAGCTACTGGCTGTTCCACTTCTAACTCACTTACAAGTTTGCTCTTTCACTTACTTACAGAAAGGTAATTATCGATTTGTGAGCTCTAGCAAACAATTTTAACAGCTTTGATTTATTATCGCACCTAAATACAGACACTACGTGTCAATCTCAAACTAGTTGGAATTAATTAATAAATCTTCAATATCTATTTTGCTCGGTTTGGGCTTGTTTTGTATCCAAATGCAATAATTTATAATTTGTTTAGGACAAATTAAGAATTTCTCTAACTATGGATATTCTGAGTCTCACACTTACTCCTACGTTTTCACACAACTTTTACTCAAACTAAAGAGCCTCTTATCAAATATCAATTTTACGACACAGACTTTAAAACAAATATTCTCCATGTTATTTTAGGATCTACATTGTTCATTTTCTAAACCTTCCAGAGTGATGGAGTTATAATTACTGACTGATATAGGTCTACTGACTTAATTATTTTAGACAACCTTTTCCCATTTGTTCGAAGTGAATTGTTTGCACATCCATCTTAACTATCGAATTCTGCAACATCTATGTCATGGATATGTTAAACCCTAGAAGCTTAACATTCATTCTCTATATAAAATTTTATCTTTCTAAAGATCCCATCTAATTGTAAATCAAAATCATGTTACCAGTTTGGAATTTTATATAACAGTAACTAACCTTTGTAACTCTACTGGCTTAATGAAAATATATAGTCATAATAATCTCCACGCTATTCCAAGCAAAACAATCATATAGTTACACAATCTCCCCAACTCCCGAATCCAATGCCACCAGCTGCTTCTCCTATTAGAGGAAACCGAGTGAAAAAGATGTTCTAGCCAGCAACAAGGTGACACAAACTGACGAGCCAATATATGAGAGCTGTTTGTATACGTGTGCGTGGGTGAAGCTAGGGGGACACAAGGGATTCAAAATTGTTTTTAATANTACTTAGTGAAGCCAAGACCCAAATAAGAACAGTAAGGAGACTCAGGACACTTCCCAATCATAATGGGGTTGCACTAGGGATCAACTCTTAGCCCGTTTTTTTATTTGTCATGGTAATAGATGAATTCACACAACATATTCAAGGTGAGGTACCATGGTGTATGTTATTTGCAGATGACATAGTACTGATTGACGAGACACCCGGCGGAGTTAATGCTAGATTGGTTTGAAGAGAAACCCTAGTGTCTAAAGGTTTCAGGTTGAGCAGGACTAAAATTTAGTACTTGGAGTGCAAGTTCAATGACATATGAGGCGGATGAGAAAGTAAGGATTGATACACAAGTCATCCCCATGAGAGGGAGCTTCAAGTGTCTTGGGTTAATAATCCGGGATGGATGAAATGGAAGCTCGCATCCTGTGTCCTATGTGATAAGAATGTGCCGTCAAAACTTAAAGCTAAGTTCTATAGAGTGGATATTAGACCAACTATGTTGTATGGGGCAAAGTGTTGGTCAGTCAAGAACTCACACGTTTAGAAGATGAAAGTAGCAAAAATGAGGATACTTAGATAGATGTGCAAGCATACTAGCAGGAGAGATAAAATTAGGAACGAAGATATACAGTGCAAGGTGGAAGTGATCTCTATAGTGGACAAGATAAGGGAAACGAGGCAGAGATGATTCAGACATGTGAAGAGGAGGAGCACAAATGCCCCAATGAGGAGGTGCGAGAGGTTGGCAACGATAGGTCTAAGAAGAGGTAGAGGTAGTACGAAAAAGAATTGGAGAGAAGTGATTAGAATGGACATGACACATCTTCAGCTCACCAAGGACATGAGCCTAGATAGGAGAGCATGAAGGTCGATGAATAAGGGAAAATGTTAGTAGGTAGTCGAGCGATTTCTCTCTTTTCTGTGGGAGAGCATGGTTCTAGTTTAGAGCACCTTATGTGCTCTCTCTTCTCTTTACTAATATTTATTATTATTATTATTATTATTATTATTATTATTATTATTATTATTATTATTATTATTATTATTATTATTATTATTATTATTATTATTATTCTATTATTATCTTATTTTTCAATTGTATTACTACTGCTTTTTATTTTGCTTTGGTTATCGTACTATCTGATGTCAATACTTTTCTTTTTTTTAATATTTTTGCCATAGCTTCTTTATTCACTTATTTTTCAAATTTATATTGACAATATTTTTTTTGAGCCAGGGGTTTATAGGAAATAAGCTCTCAACCTCAGATAAGGTAAGGGTAAGGTCTGTATATACTCTACATTCTACCTACTTGTGAGGTCACACCGGATATATATATATATTGTTATGGTTGTTTAGTGAAAATTCTGGCTCCACATGCACGGTCAACACATGTATCATGGGAAAGCAAATCATATTGAGAAAAGACACGTACCTCTCAAAACACGTGCCGGTAATGCATGATCCGAGGTTCAAAACAGCGATTATATATGAAACTGTGGAACAACACAGACGTTAAATCAGTAAGTATCCTCTGGACTACTTTGGACATTATCTTTGAGTTTAAGGTATATCTTGAAGGCCAAGGGCAGAAATACATTATACAGGCAACAAGAAACCTAGTAAATTGAAGCACCAAACAGTACAAAAGTTTGATGAATTCAGTGGCAGTTAACATTCAGTATCCCGATCCCGAGGAGGGAGGAGTATAAATTGTACTATTGAACATGAGGATAGTACTATAACTGGGATCAGGAATGTTTGCGAGTTTTATCTTTTCCCTTTCCATAATCATCTCTTTCGGATCTGTCTTTTAGTCAAATTGCCTGAGGCTACTTATAAAGAGGCATCTCATTTGGCAAACTAGTGGTGACAGTAATTAATTAGCTCGCCTTTTAATTTGTAACCTAATTAATTAATCACTTCTTTCTTTTTTCCTGATAATTAAATACAAGTAGTCGTATATTCAAAATTAAGCTACACTATTTTGAACGAGCGCCAACGCATATGGAACAGATAACTTCAGACAAATTTGTATTAATTGGTTTTAGTAATGACGTTAATTTATATTAAAACATGACTGATCTATTCGTCTCTATAGAATATCTCCTTTTATCTCTTTGTTATAGAAAAATACTCGTATTCTATAATTCAAGCTATCAAAGTTTTAGCTCGTTTTTTATGTTCTCATTTTACCATCATCAATGAGTAACATTCTAGTTTTGATTTAGTTCTTGTATACTTTGAGCCAATTGGCCATTGCTGCATTTTGAGTTCTTAATTTGAGCGCCATAACAAACAAACAAAAACCAGCCTTTAATTAGGGAGAGGTAAATTTACTCGAGTGGATCTGTGTGGACATCAACGGAGAGACAAAAATGGCTGCTCTGTAATCTTTGGGATCATTTTATAAATTGATTTGTATTCATACATTGTCTGGACAAACATGAGATCTGGTGAGCGGAAAGAATTGACAAATAAGACCAAAAAGAAACCCAAACTTATTACGGCAAAATTGTAAGGCGCAAATGCCCGAGCCAGAAATGCGTAAGGACCCAAACTAGAGGATGGGACTACAAGCTATTTTTCTCCAGAAACCCTTTCTTTTAACTCTCTCACAGAAGACCACTGCTAAAAAGGAACCTCTGCTGCACTGGCTAGAAACTGCATATTCGGGTATGAGTAAGAATGTTACCTTTTATCCTAAATGATGGTTTTTTTGCTTGGGAATGTACATTGTCTTAACACCCTTTTCGGGCTTTGGCCTATACTTGACCTTAATGCTTCCACTTGAAGATGAAGTAAGAACTTCATTTTTTGTCAGCTCAGTGTCAGCTCTGGAAACAACCCCATGTTCCCCAGAATCTGATGCTGGGGCTGCTTCTGAACTGCTACTTGGCACCTCCGGGCGCTCTGAAGACTCAGTGTCAGGAGAAAGCACTAATCTGACATGATCTCCAGCAATGGCCTCCCTCCATCCTACATAGATTTTCAGATCAATCAGAATGAAGAAGAAGCAGAGAATACTTGGAGCAGAAAATGCATGGCTGTGTTTGTGCATGCATAAAATTATAATATATAGAAGCGTGAGAGCTAGTAAAACATACTCTGAGCAAGAAAAGCTTTTGCAGCGATACTTGAATATCCCAAACCTTGATGTGCATTTCCATCTGGAACCTGACAATTCTTACGACTGCCAGAGCTGTCCACGGGACATGACTGCAAACTATTTTCATTTAATGATGTTCCGTCATCAAACTTTGAAGACATGACACCCTCTTCTTCAGGATCTTGTCTTCCAACTGTATGCCTCACAGGCCTCCAAAGCTTGGCAGCTGCTCTATTTGACCCAATCTGAAGAGCATCATGCTTAGCTGGCTTCTCTACAGCATTGCATTTTTTACGAAGCTCTGTGCTTCCAAAATCATCTCTTCCCTGCTGCTGAGTGCTGCAATCTTTCACGGGAACAGATATAGAACCAATTATCACTTCAGAGTTCCTCTGCTTCTGATCTATGTCCTCTTTCTGCACCTCCAGTATTGAAGTATCATCACTTTCAACTCTAACTTTTCTTGTCCATATCATACAGCTATTAACAGGGGTACCACTGTCCTTGTGCTTCTGTATAGGCTCAGCTTTCAATGCTTGATGATTTTGATTGTTATGGAAACCACCATTTCGCCCAAACCTTTGCGATTTTGGTGCTTGCAACTGGGAATTGGCAAAACGCCGTCGACTATTGGCAGACACTGGTCGGGGTTCAAGATTTTGAACTTTAACTGAATCCAGGTGTTGGTGACAAAGATCATACTGGGATTCGACGCTCGTATCTACATTGCTGGAGAACTGAACCATTTCAAGACAGGTGGATATGCCCACAGATACGTCAGGAATATTAGCTGGTGCCTCCAGAATTCCCTTTTCCTCAATTGATTGCTCCTTTGCTTTCTGTTCCTTCTGTCGAAGCTTTTTCACTTTTTTCCTTTCCAATAGCTCAGCTTGCCTAGCATATCACATGAGAAATAATTGAAAGGAATTCAATAGCTATACCCTCAAAGCAGCGACAAACCAAGATTCATTCAGATAAAAAGTGCCAAGAGTTTTAAAACACTGTCAGGCTGACGCGGTAAGTAAGTTCATCTGACTAAGTAATCTTTTTATTTGAAGTAGAACGGAACTCGCTCCCAATGTCAAACTTGCTCCATCCCCTTAGGGGTGAATGCTTACAACAGCTATTGCTGCCCTGTCTTTATCTACTTCCCAACAAATAATAAAATAAGTCACTTCCAGGTGAAACGGATGAGTTATTTGCCATGTCTAATTAAATGCAAATATCAAAATGCCCAAGCTCCACAGCACTATAACGATGGCTCTTTACCTCCATATCCGTAAGTTTAGAAATTGACAAACAAATAAAAATACGAAACTGTCTTCTACTTGTTGAGAAATCTGCTTCAAAAAATAAGGTTATAAACTGCAGGAGCACATCTTCAGAGCACATAAATGCTTTTATTCCAGAAATAGTTACGTCATAAGCATTAACAGATTATTCTAAACAATTATAAGAATTAAGAAATATGACCGTATCGAGAGATAGGAATAGGAGAGCTTTGATGGAGTAGAGAAAGATCTTGTATTTTTGAGGAATAGCCTCTTTTCGCTTATTGTTTTTTGGTGCACCCACAAAATTCCCTTATGTAAAGATGATTGGGTAGCATTCATAGAAAACCATGTCTTTTTGTAAGGTTTTCTATCTTTTGGTATACTTCTTGTATACGGGCAACTTTTGCCCTTTGTTTTAATGAAATTTATTATTTATCCATAAAAAAATAAGAAATATGACTTTATCATGTAGTAACTTGTCATTCAGAACATAGGAGCAATCATGATACACCATAACCTCAGTAGAATACATGAAAAAGGAAAAAATCAGGGAAGATAAGTTGATATGGTAAAAAGTGTCTCACTTTTTTTGAGCAGCTTCTTCCTCCTCAAAAAGCAACTTTTGGCATCTCAAAGCTTCAGCATCTTTTTCAGCAACCCATGCTTTTACCTGAGCATAAATGAATACCAGTTACTGTGGATGCTGGTTCGCTGGACAGAATCTTAAAGCATAACCAAAAGTGTCTTCTTGTGACCACACTTCCAAGAATAAAAATAGGAACTGAATCTAACAATACAACAACAACAACATACCCAGTATAATCCCGCAAGTGGGGTATGGGGAAGGTAATGTGTACGCAGACCTTACCCCTACCCGGCGAGGTAGAGAGGCTATTTCCAATAGACCCTCGGCTCAAGAAAAGGTGAAAAGAGAGAAAGGAAGAAGACGGAGAAGAAAGAAAGAATAGGGGGACAAAGGACGATAAGGAAAAGGGGAGAAAGACAACTATAGTAACAACAATAAGAATAACAACAACAACAACAACGAAACCAGTAACAGAAAACAGTAAAAAACTGGAACATACGATACACAGAGCGAACGAAAAAAAAGGGAGCTACTAATACTACTAAAAAAGAACGGGGAACTCTCGACTACCTACTAGACAACTACCTTAATCTTCGAGCTCCACACCCTTCTATCCTGGATCATGTCCTCTGTGAGCTGAAGTAGCGCCATATCCTGCCTAATCACCTCTGCCCAATACTTTTTCGGCCTTCCTCTACCCCTTCTCAGCCCCGCCACGGCCAGCCTCTCACACCTACTAACAGGAGCATCCGTACTCTTCCTCTGCACGTGCCCGAACCATCTCAGCCTCAACTCCCGCATCTTGGCCTCCAGGGGGGCCACTCCCACTTTGTCCCGAATAACCTCGTTCCTAATCTTATCTCTCCTAGTATGCCCACACATCCATCTCAGCATCCTCATTTCTACTACTTTCATCCTCCCCGCACCGATACGGTGGGAGACCTCATCATCAATCTCCCCGTTACCCCGAATTATAGACCCGAGATACTTGAAACTACTCCTTCTCGGGATGACTTGGGTATCAAGCTTCACCTTCACGTCCGCTTCATGAGTCCCGTCACTGAACTTACACTCCAAGTATTCCGTTTTGGCCCTGCTCAACTTGAAACCTTTAGACATCATACATGTCCTTGATTACCCTAGTGTAAGCTACCAGAACGCCGCTAACCTCCAAACATCTCCACAGAACCTCCCTTGGAACTTTATCGTATGCCTTTTCTAGGTCTATAAACACCATGTGTAGGTCCTTCTTTCTCTCCCTATACTGCTCTACCAATCTCCTCACCAGATGAATGGCTTCCGTAGTCGATCGCCCCGGCAGAAATCCAAACTGATTCTCAGAAATAGACACTCTTCCTCACCCTGACTTCCACCAGCCTCTCCCAAATTTTTATAGTATGACTCAGCAGCTTGATACCCCTATAGTTATTGCAGTTTTGGATATCACCCTTGTTCTTGTACAAAGGAATCATCGTACTCTACCTCCATTCTTCGGGCATCTTCTTCGTCTTAAAGATAACATTAAACAACGAACTGAATCTAACAGTATCATGCAAATACAGATGGCACCATCACGTATATAGATGTGAAAAAAGTATAGGTTCAACACATAAAGCCGGAAAGTTCTCAGGAAAAATAAAAAGATTCTACCAGTTTCTGTTCAAAAAGGAAGCTTGTGCAAGCAACCAGATTCTTCGCGTCAAAACCAATTTTAGAAGCTTCCCCATCGAAAACATATTTTTGCACCGAGTCAGCCGTGCCAGCACATAAGAATGTTCTCTCAGTAGCATCTTCAAGGATACTAAATAACTCCTGGGAAGTCACTGGAGGCCTGAAAGGTTTAGCTTGGACGACTTCCTGCAAATTGATCCTATTTAGTGTCGTTGGCTCTTATCTCACTTTTCTTTTGTTGTTGGTTCAATAATACTCAGTCGAAAATGGAAATAGAGAACTAACCAACAACTTTGAACCAGCCCTTACATAACCACGAGGAAGAGTCCAAAACCCAGGTTTGCCCAAAGCTGTTGCCAAGGCATGAACAAGTGAAGATCCAGCAATTTCCTAAAAGAACTATGGCAATTACAATCTAACACTCTATAAAGTGTGGGAGGGGAGAAATGTTCAGACAAGTTTTTATCAGTAGCCCAAAAGAACTCCGCTAGTCATAAACAGCTTTGAAAAGAAAAGATTTTTAGCATAAATACCATTTGTATAAACTATATAGTTTGTTCTAATCAAAACTAAGCTAATACAATGAGCTTAAATGTGGAAATGCTCAATTACTACAGAAAATTATCGCTGAATAAAGGGAGACAGAGACTACGTCCAGTTTATGCAAACCCAGGGGAAATAAGCTGTAATTTCTCGTAGCCAATGGGAGGAACACATGCAGGTGTTCTATCTGGTCTTCTCAAGTTCACATTATCTACCAGAACAGAAGAGGAGGGATTTGTCTTGCTGCGCACCACGAATAGCCTAGATTATTATTCTATTACTGTCCCTAGGGGCATTTGTTCTACCTTCAGTCAATTCCAAGTTATCATCACATTTCTGTGTCAAAATTGCAGGGGAAGAACTCACTTTCAGTTCCATTTCATATATTTTTTCCATTTAAAAATAAACTCACTTTAAGTTCCAAGTCAAGAAAAAACATACGTAAGACAGCGGACACATGGAATCAGGCAATTACCTTTAATGAAATATCTTGCAATGATACAACTTCCTTAACCTCATCCACTGAGAGCTGTATGTAGCAGTGATACAGACAACATAAATAACCATTATGGAACAAGGCACACAAAGAATTAGGGAGTGAGGAAGAGAAAATTACCTTGTCCCAGAATGCTGCCAACAAATCCCTGTATTTACGAGACTCCTACAAAATGTAAATAAAACATAAGATTCAGCACATGCACATCCAACGCGCCCTGTATTGACAAGTATATATGATATCAAGATTTAGTTACCTAATCAAAAAACAAGAACATTCACCACAATGGAAATGATACTGCAAATGACAGAAGATATGCCAGTGTTTTCAAAGGCGAAAAGAGTTAAAAAAAATACCAATTTCTGCTGGGGCTCTGAGCGCAAAGCGCTATTTAACTATTTAAGCGTGCCCCTTAATGAAGAAAAGCGCAAACGAAGAAAAATATATATATATATATATATATA